ACACCCTATGATGTTTGCACACCAAAACCACCTAATGGCGTGTTTCTAAGAACGTACTCCATTCAGTAAGTAACACATGACTGTATATCAATAATCACTTTAAACCCATTAGTCTTGTGAAAGTTAATTATACGAGCTAGGTCATTCTTTCACCTCCAACTAAATCAGAGTTGAGGGGCCAGAGGAAAAGTACTCGAGGCACAGAACACCTTCTTGGCCCCACTGCTGAGGTGCTCTGCCAGAATCCCAACACCAGTTTTATTGGTAGCTGCCGAAATAACCTGTCATGACTTTAAGACTAGTTTTACCTACCACCATCACCTACCAGTCAGAGATTGCCACCTCCCAAAAGCTTCTCTACTGTCGATGAGCTTCTTTTCCAAAGAGTATGTAAGATTGCTCTTTCTAATAAAACTGCCAACATTCTCTTTCCAACGAACGGTGAGGGAACAACTGAGCATCCACATGCAGAAAAATGACTCTAGACACAGAATTTATATGCTTCACGAAAGTCAACTCAAACAGATCAGAGACCTAAATGAAAAATGAAAAATACAAAACTCCTAGAAAATAACATAGGAGAAAACCTAGGTGGCCTTGAGTACGGGGATAGGTTTTTAGAGACAACACCAAAAGCACAGTCCATGAAAGAAGCAACTGATCATCTGGACTTCATTAAAACTAAAGACTTCTGCTCTGTGAAACACACTGTCAAGAAAATGAGAGGCAAGTCACACACTGGGAGGAAATGTTTGCAACGGGCACATGTAAAAAAGAACTGTCATCCAAAACATGCGAAGTACTCCTAAAACTCAATGATAAGATGACAAAGAAGTCCATTTAAAACAGGCAAATCCTTGCCAGGCACGGTGGCTCACACCTGTAATCCTAGCACTTTCAGAGGCTGAGGCGGATGGATCACTTGAGCTCCGGAGTTTGAGATCAGCCTGGCCAACATGGTGAAACTCCGTCTCTACTACAGTTACAAAAATTAGCCAGGTGTGGTGGCAGGCACCTATCATCCTAGCTACTCGGGAGGCTGAGGCAAGAGGCTTGAGCCCGGGAGGAAGAGGTTGCAATGAGCTGAGATCACACCTCTGCACTCCAGCCTGGGTGAAAGAACAAGGCTCCATCTCAAAAAATAAATAAATAAAATAAAATAGGTAAATCCTGAAGAGACCTCCTATCTGAGAAGAAATACCAACAGCAAATGAGCATATGAAAAGATGCTCGCATCATATGTCATTAGAGAAATACAAATTAAAATAGTGATATTCCACTGCACCCCTATTAGAATGGCCAAAATCCAGAACACATTCTACAAAACAATGAGTCTATAATTTGCCAAAGCGCCAGGTCATAAAAATCAAGGAGACCCAGGAACTATTCCAGAGGAAAGAAGAGTAAAGAAATGTGTTTTCTAAATGCAACAAGTGATGCTCAATGACATCTATTTGCTAAAAAGGGAATATCAGGATAATCAGCAAAACCTGAATGGTGTCTGGGAGTTATATGATCACAATGTATCAGTGTTAATCTTCATGCTCTGATCATTGTATTGTAGATATTTTTGAGCATGTCCTTCTTTCTAGGAAAAACTCAAGTATTGAGGAATCCAGTTAGCAACTTATTCTCAAATGGTTTGGGAAAAAAGTTCTTTGTAATACTCTCCAACTTTTCTGTAAGTTTGTGATTATTGTAAAATAAAAAATTTTATTGAGGAGATGGCTATTAACTCTATGGAAGCAGAGATTTTGTTTCCCTCCTGTGAATCTCCAGAACAGCACCTGACAGTAAGGGCTTCATAAATATCTGATGAATGAATGAATGTGGGTTAGGGACATGAGAGCAAATCTGCCCTAGAAATCAAGACAATGTCTAAAGCTAAGAAGTGAAATAGTAAAATATACATAATTATTTTTAAATCTGGAGAAAACTACCAAAATAAACAACTTTAAAAAGTGGGTTTATCTCTAGGGGACATTCTGGGGTAAGAAGAGGTTGCAAAGGAAAAAATTATTTTTCACTGTAGTCCTTCTGTAATATGGGATTGTTTAACCAAGTATTAGCAAGGTATTATACTTTGACTCTTAAAAATATTAGGCAACTTCAAAGAGAAATACCAAAAACTAACTGAAATATAGTTGAGGTAGCTTCTCACAATAATTAAAGGAAAGGGAAATCCGTACTTGGAAAAGTAACACCTAATAATTCTGTTTTTTACATGCCAATTCAGTCACACCTCACATTAGCTTTTTGTTGTTGTTCACCATAACCTTTTCCTTTTCAAAGATAAGCACAGTTCATTCCAGTACTAATTGTAGTAAGCAGGAAACAATTACTGCCCAGCAAGCTGGGACTCCTGAAAGTAATTTTGACATATCACACAATGGAAAGCCACACAATAATTAAACATAGTGATGTAGTGCCTGGTATTTTTATTCCTCCAATGGAAAAAAAATATAAAAGGAAAGAATACACTCCCATCAACAATAGATAGGGGCTACCTTCTGCCATAATTCTCACCTGGACCCCCTACAGAAGGCATATCAGAATCTGAGGCAGGAGCCACATGGGCTGAGGCTGCCACAGGCCAGGTGCTGAGTCAAGCACACTACACAGATGGCCCAGTTCAGCAACTCGCAGGGGGATGGCGACGACACCACCCCACGTCCCAGAGAAGGAAGCAGCCTGACACCTTGACAGTCTCACATCATAGTCTATGTCCTTAAACACGTTATACCGAATATATTTGACCTAGAAAGGAGTTCAGCCATATACTAAGTAAAATACATTACAAAGAGGCATATATAGTAGGATTTCATTTCTGTGAAATAAAAATTTTATAAATACCCTCTGGAAAACTTGGGAAAGAAAAGCTCTACAATTGTATTTATTTATTTCTTTTTGAGCCAGAGTCTCGCTGTCACCCAGGCTAGAGTGCAGTGGCACAATCTTGGTTCACTGCAACCTCTGCCTCCCAGGTTCAAGCAATTCTCCTGGCTCAGCCTCCTGAGTAGCTGAGACTACAAGCACGTGCCACCACGCCACCTAATTTTTGTATTTTTAGTAGAGACAGGGTTTCACCATGTTGGCCAGGCTGGTCTCAAAGGTGATCCACCCACCTTGGCCTCCCAAAGTGCTGGGATTACAGGCATGAGCCACCGTGCCTGGTCTACAGTTTAATTTAATTAATTGTTTGTTTTTTGAGACAGAGCCTCTGTCACCCAGGCTGGAGTGTAATGACACAATCTTGGCTCACTGCAACCTCCACTTCCCAGATTCAAGCGATTTTCCTGCCTCAGCCTCCCAAGTAGCTGGGACTACAGGCATGTGCTACCACACCCGACTAATTTTTGTATTCTTTTTTAATAGAGATGAGGTTTCACCATATTGGCCAGGCTGGTCTTGAACCCCCAGCCTCAAGTGATCTGGCAGCCTTGACCTCCCAAAGTGCTGGGATTATAGGTGTTAGCCAGTGCACCTGGCCATGATGCTGCAATTTAAAAAAGTAGATAGTGAGATGACAGGTTTCTACAATTGGGGGTATTGATAGTAGCAAAAGGCAACCAAATGTCTAGGTAGACAGGGGTGGGTCCCTGGTGAAACCCAATCTTCAAGCAGAAATCAGTTTCAAAGCCTAGCTACAAGTCTCAGGTAATCCACTGACTGGATTGAGGACCTGTCTTCCTGTTTGGCATTTTTTTCTCTGATTGATCTCTACCCTTCACCTATTTCACATATACCTACCCTTTCCTAATTGGTTTTCTACACTGTCATACCCACCTTTGAGTGGTGTGTTTACTTTAAGCTTTTTTGCATACTCACTAACCAATCAGCACGCACTCCCCATTCTGAGTCCATAAAAAGCCCCAGCCCAGCCACACTGAGAGAGAAACCACCCATCCAAGAAGAATGAGGTTACACTGAGAGCTGCTCCGTTGCTCAGTAAAATTCTTTTCTGCCCATCCTTACCCTTCTAGCTGTCAGCATAACCTCATTCTTCTTGGACACGGGACAAGAGCTTGGGAACCACTGAATGCTATAGCACAGGTGGGCCGACTGAGTGGGGAGCCTCCAGCGGCCAGGCCCAGGACTGTGCGAGGCCCAGGTGGGGGACAGGGTTTGGGCGTTGCTAGCCGTGGAAGACCCCAGTTGGTAAAGTGGCTGAGAAAAATTCTTTGTATCTTTCTTTCTCTGTGATGAGCAACATTACCAAAGTAATTGAAAATAATCTGAAGTACAGAGAATATTTTAGTTGGCTAAAGCTTTAATGTAGTTGTAGTTTACTATGGAAATATTATGACCACAGGTATCAGTAAGCCCTCATTTGACTCGTCAACAGGTTCTTGGAAACCATGGATTTAAGTGAAACAAAGTACAGCAGGCCCTCAAATTACGTTGTTTCTCAAGGTTGTTTGGTTATAACATTGTTTTACTTAAGGTCAGTTTCCAAGAACCTATCTGAGACATGAAATGAGGCCTTCCTGGACACACATCTAGCATAAGTGTGAAATGGTGGAGGAACCACCACAGAGTGTGAGCCAGGCATCAAAGGGGTTGACAAATTTCACCCTTGTCCAGCAATTCTAATTCACTAAATATCTTAAAGACTGGCATTAAAAACTAGGTATTTCTGCCCTTATAAGCCTGTCTTCCATATTTTTATGCATACTGTTGCTTAAGTGAAAAATCAATCACAAATATATATGTATACTCTGAGGACAGATAGTGATTACTGGTCTAATGGCTAGGCTGAAATAAAGCAGTCCTGCACATGAACAGGTGCCTGTTGTGTTCTTTATGTGACAGTAAAATTTCTAAGTGAAATGCAGGACATGTGATCTCTTTCAACATCTACATCACAATTGGTTACATTAAATTAAGAAAAGAGAGACAGAGAATTACCATGGCCCTTCTAGACAACCTTTCTAATCTTTAAAAAGTTATGAATACCTTTTTCATGCTGCCTATGAAATAACCACACTAGCAGAACTCACCCAGTGCTGTGGCTGTTGGCCTGAGGTCACCGACAACACTCTTGCACCATGTATGCCGCAGGGACTGTGCCAGAAAATTTAAGCCACGTGAATCTGATAGAAAGAATAAATTTCAGGATTAAAGCATGAAATAAAACCCAAAATAAAAATGTGAACTCGTTCGTACACTACTTCTGCTCTTGCTTTTTGCTCTGAGGTTACAGGAGAGCTCACTAGGGGACCCAAGGTGAGGGGACTAAAAACTGGATGTGGACAGAAACATCCGAAACTGTTTCCACGGTCCGTGACGAGTTCTTGTATTTTCATGCTAAGGGTCACTTGCGATAAATAGCTCTTTTTAAAAGTGTCTAGAAGTCTAAATATTCAAAACCTTGTTTTGTTAGAATCTCTAAATTACAAACATTTGGACTTCTAACAACATAACTTGATGTTAATAAGAAATTGAGGACAGTTTTTTCCTGTCTCACGAACACATTGTAGCACTTTATGACCTTATAATCTGTCACGGCCTCATCAGGATTAAACTTTAAATATTAAACAGAGTCCAAGTCTTTGTCTCCATGTGGGGAAAAGTCTGTACAACTTATATCTATACACTAAGATTATTAACAAAATAACGTAAGGGAAGTTGATATGGTGAGAATCGACTCACTTTCTATTCCTTGAACATCTTTTTCTCGCAAAAACATTGGCCAGAGGGTAAGTGCTGGATTGACTTTACTGGAGGAGGGTGCTGATTTTATATCCAATCTTGGTTTTTCTAAATGATCAAGGTTTTTATTCTTTGTAGGTGACATATAACAAGCATAGTTCTTTGCAACAAGATCATCATTAACACAAACCTGTAAAATTTTAAACATTTCATAAGACATAGTCAAGTGAATTTAAAGAAAATATTCAAATTTCAGTTTTCAGAGAAATTATTTTATAGAATATAATCTGATAGTTGGCTAAAGCTTTAATGTAGTTGTGGTTTACTATGGAAATATTATGACCACAGGTATCAGTAAGCCCTCATTTGACTCGTCAACAGGTTCTTGGAAACCATGGATTTAAGTGAAACAACATTTGACTCCTGCTCTGGTAAACCAAATACTTTCCACTAATCCTTCTAACTGGCGTGAGGTGGTATCTCAATGTGGTTTTGATTTGCATTTCTTTAATAATCAGTGACGATGAGCATTTTTTCAATGGTATTTTATCAATATTACTTTTGTGGTTTTAAAATCCGTACTGAGGTTTTGTACTATGTTAACATCAGGACAAACTGGGCAAAGCATATCCCAAAATCTCTGTGCTATTTCTGCATCTGTAAGTCTAAAACTATTTCAAAATATAATTTTTTAAAAATCCATGGTGAAGGTGCCCTCCATGGGCTCTGAGCAGCCCTGGATCTGCCCCTTCTGTCCACCTCTGTCTAGTGCTGAGCTGTGCCCTGAGCCACCCTTCAGAAAGGGCAGAGGCCAAAATGCTAGCAGCTGGCAGCTGGCAGAGGTGGGGGCCGCTCACATGTGATATCTGCTTTCTTTCCACTTGTGATCTGAATTTTTCACAGCAAGCACATGTTACATACAGTGAGCAAGTATGGGGGAAAGGCAGTGAAGTAATGCTACAGCAAATCACTATATTTTTAAAAATCACAACCAATAAGAAGAAAACAACATTTCATGATAATGATAATTTCTTGGTCATTTTGAAATAAAATGCCAAAGTCATTTTTTAAAGCAATCAAAAGAAGAAAATATAGACCTGGCTAACTTCAAATCTAAGACAGACCTTAAGAGATAAAGACAATTTCTATGCTGTGTGAACAACAGTGTTTTTAGTGTTTTCCTTGGCATTTTTTGTTTTATTAAAGTAAAATTTTAAATCATGATAAAATATTTTAAAAATACAGTTCTTTCACTAACTTTTTCATCTTTTATAGTTACATAAAGGTAAACCTCAAATGTATCTTCTTCCACCGCACATAATCTGGCTTCCACCTGGGTAGTTGCTAAATAGCATAAATGAAAACACAAATTAGCTGATGTTAAGAGCGTATTTGAAACAATCATGACTATTTCCCACCTAGTAACTAACCACTTGAGTGCCCAAATGGCTTCCTCAGGCAGGACCCAGAGGGAGCATGTTAGGCAAAGGCTCTCCTAATTGTGGAGTGGGTCACGGGTCCTGTCCCTATCAACAGGTTCCTGTGCCACCCCATGAATACCTCCTCAAGTATAGCTCCTGGTCCTCTCTTCTCCTCCACTGCCTCCCAAACCCAGATTTCCAGTCCCAAGCCTTCATGTGAGATCCGCTGTACCCTGCAAATCCCCACGGAGTGCAGCACCTGGCTACTCCCTTATAGACTCCAAACCCCATGGGCAGCTGCATCACTGCCACCTACCAGGCACAGTGCTAAGTCCTTTAGAAACCTTCTTTCGCTGAGTTTTTACCACTACCTTCAAGGTATGTACAGTGATCATGTGACGAGTGAGGAGACCAGGCTCAGAAGTTAAGTGACTCGCCTCAGCCATGGAGGACTAGGTGGTCAGCCTCCTCCAGACCCACATTCTCATCTCCCAGCAGCCCCTGTGGCTCACAGGGGCCAACACTCCAGTCCCAGTGACCTCCCAGCCTCCCACTGCACCCAGGTCAAAGGATCTGGCTCCTCCTCTACCCAGATAATGGCACAGCACAGGAGAGGAGCCAGGACCCAATGAGGTACCAGGCAGTACCCCAGGCATTCCCCCCACCCACCAACCTCTCACTAAAACCAGGTATCTGACTGCCAGGGGTTAAGACAGATGCCACAAAGACACTGTTTATAGTCACTGATTTAAAATAAAAAGAGCATACGAAATTGGTTGCTGAAGACATTTTATGCATCTTAAATTAGCAGTAATGATTATAACACAATAAATATCCATTTGCTATCTCTTGCTCACTAAAAATGCTAGGTTTTTCATCAATTGCTGGTCCAATGAAAATCACATGAATTTATTTTGCAGGGCCGCAGCTTTTACGCCAACTAAGAGGCAGGCATTATTACTGTGTAGGGGTTCCCCGGCACAAACAGCCCCCTGCTGATCTCAGCTGTCAATTACTGACATCCACGCCACTACGGGTGCAGTTACTTTGGCACTTGAGCTGGAAGAAGTCCCAGGTAGCTTAGGGAGCCCCTCTGAGGAGGACCGTTCGGCCAGCAGTGGTATCTCCAACCCTCTCCGGCAGCAGAGGCTGCGGCCTCTGTGGGTGTCACTTCCCGGCAGGCTGCAGTGATCAGGCACTGGCTTACCTTTGAGAAGGTTCTGAAAGTACTGAACAGCTGCACTGTCCCATTTCCTGGCAGGTCTGGAACAGTGAACAGATGCAACTTCATTACAGAAAAATCTGAGGCTAGCACACCAACAGCATTCTGTAAAGCACACACCGGACATTTCTCACCCTACATATGGAACACGTGATGCAGACGATGGGACGCCTGGCGCTGGCCCTGCTCTAAGGGTGAGGATCCCACTGCATCCTGCAACATGCTCAAAACTGTCACCTGCCCAGGTGCAGACTCACAGCACAGAGGCCCCACTGAGAATGACCTGTGCCCACCACTGCACTGCCTGGCACGACATCACCACCCCCGCCACCTGCGACAAATCAGCCTCCCCAACCAGAACACAAGCTCCTGGGGCAGGGATCCTGAGTACGGGGTGTCTGGCGCAGTCTGGCACAAAGAGGGAACATGTGCTAATATACCAACACTCTAACAGGCAGTCATGGGACAGTCAGCTACTATCTTTGTTTCATTTTGTTTGTTTTGAGACAGGGTCTCACTCTTTACCCAGGCTGGAGTGCAGTGGCACAAACACAGCTCACTGCAGCCCTGAACTCCTGGGCTTAAGCGATCCTCTCCCTCACCTCAGCCTCCTGAGTAGCTGGGACTACAGGTGTGCATCACCATGCCCAGCAATGAAAAAAAAGTTTATTTATAGAGACAGGGTCTCGCTATGTTGCCCAGGCTGCTCTCAAACTCCTGGGCTGAAGCGATCCTCCTGCCTCGGCCTCCCTAAGTGCTGGGAGTAAAGGTGTGAGTACTGCACTGGGTCCCAGCTACTATGAAACTACGGTTCCTCACTCTGCTGACCCTAGAGCCCTCTCACTGGCTCCCATTTTACCCCTACCATCTTGTCTTTTCTACATCTTTCTTTTGCTTTGCCAAAAAAAAAAAAAAAAACTTGCAGGCAAAGTTGTAGGCAGTGGGGAAGGAGGAGAAACTTGTAAGCAAGGAGAAAAATAAAATGTAAGGTCAGAATGATGTTCTATGCTTCTTCTGGTGTTATGTATCAGAGATGCACCCATCATCCTCCAAAAATTGTTTTAAACATCAAATGAGATAATGTACATAGAACACTTAGCCGAGTGCCTGGACATAATCATTACTCAAAACTGGTAGTTTTTTTATTTTTATAAGAGAGATATTAAGCAATTCAAGAAAATTACAAAGGATTTCTAAAAGGCAGTAAAGACAGTAGTTCTAAAACCTTGTTACACATAATCACCTAAAAATTAGCTTTTTTAAAAAAAGCAAAAGCGAGTTGATTCCTAATAACCCAAGAGAAAACTCAGTCTAGTGTAGGAACGGTTAAATCAGCCAGTCTCTCTCTCTCACACACACACACACAGAATAATCACATCAGCCAGTCTCTCTTCCTCTCTCTCACACACAGAATTACCACATCAGCAAGGCAGGGCAGGGTAGGGCAGGGTAGGGTAGGGTTGGGTAGGGCAGGATAGGGCAGAGCAAGGCAGGGCAGGGCAGGGCGAGTGAAAGGAGGGGAGAAGGGGGAGGAGGGAGAGGAGTGGAGGATGGGGGAGAGGAGGAGGAGGGAGGGGAGGAGGGGACAGGAGAGGAGGAGGGGACAGGAGAGGAGGAGGGGAAGGGAGGAAAAAAAGGGGAGGAGGGGAAGGGAGGGGAGGGGAGTGGGTTGGGGGAGGGGAGGGGAGGAGAGCAAAGAAAAATTAGCTAGGTATGGTGGCATGTGCCTGTAGTCCCAGACATTTGGGAGGCTGAGTTAGGAGGGTTGCTTGAACCCAGGAGGCTGAAGCTGCAGTGAACCATGATCATGCTACTACACTATAGCCCAGGCAACAGGGTGAGACCCTGTCTCAAAAAATGTGTGTGTGTACACACGTATATAATGCTCCATGATTCTGCCTTATGAATATTTTCCTTTATAGTTAATTTATTACTTTTTATAAGTCTGAAACAAAGGCAAGAAGCACAGAGCTAGGCCTGCTCCAAACTCCTCAACCACAGCAAGGTCAGACAAACACTGACTCAGAAGCCCCTCCTGAGGAACACAGAGGCCTCCTGCTCAGCACTTCTACAGAGGAACTGGCTTCATATAACACCATGCACTTGATAGAAGGTTTTTACTAAGGATTCAAAGGACTTAAGAAGCTGTACTTACACGATGTCAGTGCTGTCTTCGCAGAAGTCAATGTGTAATGTGACAGGCCTTGTACAGTACAGGCTGAATTTTTTTGCTCTATAGGGAAGCTGCATAAACGATTCTACTGCAACTCGGATGCTAAAAAGTGAAAGAGAAACAGCTCCGTTATATAGAAAATTATATACAACATATTCCATTAAAGTACACCTATTTTACTAATATACTTAATGTAAAACAAAACACACAAAAAACAATTCTTTCTGTTTCTAATGTAGCCATCAACAGTGCTTGGAGACATTTGGCCGAGAGGGAAAAACTGTTTCTTGGGACGTTGAAAAAAATCGACTCTTTTGATACATAAAGCACCGATATGGTACACAGATAGTGTATCAGTGAAAATGACATTTCATGACCTAGGGGTAGGAGATTAGAGAAAAAAAAAATGTCTAATAAGGTTCCTGGCCGGGCACGGTGGTTCACGCCTGTAATCCCAGCACTTTGGGAGGGTGAGGCAGGTGGATCACCTGAGGTCAGGAGTTTGAGACCAGCTAGCCAACATGGTGAAACCCTATTTCTACTATAAATACAAAAATTAGCCAGGCGTGATGGCACACTCCTATAATCCCAGCTGCTCAGGAGGCTAATGCAGGAGAATCGCTCGAACCTGGGACTCGGAGGTTGCAGTGAGCCAGGATGCACTCCAGCTTGAGCAACATGAGAGAAACTCAGTCTCAAAAAAAAAAAGTCTAATAAGGCTCCTTAGGTGAACAAATACTGGATACCAATGAACAAATCTATAAAGCAAACTCTATTCAAGATTTTCTAAATATCAATCTCAACGTATGACCAAAATTACCTTAAAAGTTTCTGTAAATAAACAGATGTTTTAATAGTATTTGCCAGCTTTGCACAAAAGAGCTGCAGGACTGAGATTTTTAAATCATAAGTTCAGCAATTTAATTTCCATTCTTCTTCAGCAAAAGACAGAGCACTTTATTTTTCCATTTTTTTCTTTGTAGAGTATGGGTCTCACTATGCTGCCCGGGCTGGTCTTGCTTGAACTCCTGGCCTCAAGCGATCCTCCTGCCTTGGCTTTCCAAAGCACTGGGATTACATGCATGAGTCACTGCTCCTGGCCGAACAACCACTTCCACATACTGTTTCCATATGAACTGGCTCTCTTTCCAGGGTTCCTATTGTGCCCTGTCTGGGCAGCCTGGCCATCTTCTGTCCCAGGCAGGTTAGAAAAAGGTGGCTGCACTCATGGCCCCTGAAGCATCCTCAAGCTCTATTTAATCATGTGATTTTCTCACCCCAAACAAACTAAATGTAAAATGCCAAATGCAAAAAGAAAAGCTCTCCAGTTAAACACAATAATTGTTTTGACAGCAATTATGGTTGTATGAAATGCAGGATCACAAGCTCAAATTCTTACAGTAAGTACTGCAAATTCCCAATGTCTGATAAACACATCTGCCATGGAATTATTCTACTCAATAGACACTGGTGCCTCACGCCAGTAATCTCAGCATTTTGGGAGGCCGAGGTAGGTGGATCACCTGAGATCAGGAGTTCAAGATCAGCCTGCCCAACATGGTGAAATCCTGTCTCTACTAAAAATACAAAAATTAGCCAGGCATGGTGGCACATGCCTGTAGTCCCAACTACTTGGGAGGCTGAGGCAGGAGAATCGCTTGAATCAGAAGACAGAGGTTATAGTGAGTTGAGATCACACCACTGAACTCCAGCCTGGGTGACAGAGCAAGACTCTGTGTCACCAAAAAAAAAAAAAAAAAAAAAAAAAAAAAGAATAGACACCTCTTATTGCAATCAAGTGTATTTGGTATTGCTCTTTCTTCAATGGAATCAGAATCCTCATATTTATTAAACTGACATCCTCTTACTCTGGGATGGGAAACTATGGAAAAATCATCACAAAACATCAAGACTGAATTGTTGCTGGTGTTTTCTAATGAGCTATGACACGTGGTCCCAAAAGGAGTGAAGGTTGAACAGCACCATTTTGGCACCGGCTCATTCTGAGCAGTCTCCCAACCTTACTGATGGTCACACCCTCCCTCTCTTAAGTAGGACAACCAGGAACACATATGTGACTACATGCTCTGCTCTCTGCTCTCCGAGGCTATGCTAGCAACCCCTTTCTATGGAGAGAAGAGTTTCTCTCTACCTCCCGGAAGCGTCTTTCTGGTAGCCAAGCCTCCCTAAACAGCACAAGCAAACTGAGGACAGGCCAGGAGGGCAGCAAGGAACAGCCAGGAGATGCAGAGAGAACCCCAGGAGATACAGAGACCACCACCTGAACCTGCCTGCCCTGCCAGGACAGACAGCAGCAGAGGGCCAGAGCTTGCCTCAGCCTTCATCCTGCCCCCCTGCTCTGCCAGTCACTGGGTGCAGATCAGAAGCCCACAAAGCCCCCTTCTTGAAGCTAAAGAACTCCAGTTTTGTCTTTTCTCAATGGTAGTGACCTCTAGCTCCACAGTTTAAAATACATATTCTCCTCTGAAACTGACATTTGTCTCCGAAAAGAGTGTAAGGTGAGATAAACACGTACGTACTTTTTAGATTTGACTGGAATGTTCTTGGCAAAGTCCACAAGGAAGCATTCTGCCAGGTACTGGTCTGCGGAAGACACAATTGACTTGACAATGGCTCTGCACCAGCACTTCAGCTCCTCACAATAGACCACACACACCTGCAAAATAAATCAGAGAGGTTTTTTTTTTTTTGAAACAGAGTCTCGCTCTGTCGCCTAGGCTGGAGAGCAGTGGCATGATCTCAGTTCACTGCAACCTCCGCCTCCCAAGTTCAAGCAATTCTCCTGCTTCAGCCTCCCGAGTAGCTGGGATTACAGGCACCTGATGCCATGCCCAGTTAATTTTTTTTTTTACTAGAGACGGGGTTTCACCATGTTGGCCAGGCTCGTCTCAAACTCCTGACCTCGTGTTCTGCTTGCCTCAGCCTCCCAAACTTCTGGTATTAGAAGCATGAGTCACTGCGCCCAGCCAACAGAGAGGTTTTAAGGTCAGTGTTAACATCTTGTCATAGAACAAGACACCTAAGGCCGGGCGCGGTGGCTTACGTCTACAATCCCAGCACTTTGGGAGGCCGAGGCAGGTGGATCACGAGGTCAAGAGATCGAGACCATCCTGGTCAACACGGTGAAACCCCGTCTCTATTAAAAATACAAAAACTAGCTGGGCATGGTGGCACGAGCCTGTAGTCCCAGCTACTCAGGAGGCTGAGGCAGAAGAACTGCTTGAACCCAGGAGGCGAAGGTTGTGGTGAGCCGAGGTCGTGCCATTGCACTCCAGCCTGGGTAACAAGAGGGAAACTCCAACACAAAAAAAAAAAAAAAAAAGAAGACGAACAAGGCAGCTAAAAGTTACTCTCAAAACCATGCCAGCCAACATCCTCCCTTAGAGCAGAGGAAAGAGATGCCAGGAAGCCAGGCGTGCCCAAGCTGAGCCCCTCTGCCCGTAAAAGAACCTCAGGAACACAGGCCACCTGGGTACTAGGTCACTGTTTTACTTACTACAGCCATTTTCACTCCTTAACTGAGGACAATTGTTAGAAAGTAAAATAAGAAAATGCATTCCTTTACCTTCTTAAATCAGGAAATAATGCTTAGGAATGACTGTCAATCATGTCAGACCAACAGGAAGCTGCCGCCAGCCTCATCCTTCTACTCCCTTCTCCGTGGCTCGTACTGGCCTCTGACATTGCTTACTATCTGTCATAACTGGACGCTGGCTCCTTGATGACATGGATTTTTCTCTGTTTTGTTTACTGCCATATTCCCAGCACCTAGCACAGTGCCTGGCATTTATTAAGTCTTCAACAACTACTTGAACCAGGCATGGTGACACGTGCCTGTAGTCTCTGCTGCTTGGGAGGCTGAAGCAGGAGGATCACTTGCACCCAGGAGTTGGAGTGTGCTACAGTGGGCTATGACTGCACCACTGCACTCCAGCCTAAGTGGCACAGTGAGACCCTCTTCCAAAAAACAATAGTAATAACATGTTTTAAAAATAAACTACCTGGGCCAAGCATGGTGGCTCATGCCTGTGGTCCCAACACTTTGGGAGGCTGAGGTGACTGGATCACCTGTGGTCAGGAGTTCAAGACCAGCTTGACCAACATGGAAAACCCATCTCTACTAAAAATACAAAAAATTAGCCGGGCATGGTGGCACGTGCCTGTAGTCCCAACTACTCAGAAGGCTGAGGCAGGAAGATCACTTAAGCCAGGAAGACAGAGATTGCAGTGAACGAAGATCGCGCCCCTGCACTCCAGCCTGGGCAACAGAAAGAGAGTCTATCTAAATTAATCAATCAACTACCTGTTTGATGGCTGAATAAATGCAGAGTCCCTGACTTTTGATGGTTTAACTTATGATTTTTCAACATTTTGATGGTGTAAAACTATTGCAATTTTTACATAATGTACAGTATTCAATAAAATACATAGATATTTAAACTTCACTATGAAATAGGGTTTGTATTAGATGATTCTGCCCAACCATAAGCTAATGTAAGTGTTCTGAGCACATTTAAGTCGGCAAGGCTAAGCTAGGCTGGTCAGCAGGTTAGGTATATTTAGTGCATTTTTGACTTACAGTATCAGGACATACCCATATAGTAAGTTAAGAAGCATCTGTAAATGCCTGCAGTCCCTTTTAAGGAGAACCACCCTGCAGACGTGACAGCCCTTGGCATCCTAACTGTACCACAGGACTGCCAGGCCACAGCCAACTCAACTAACAAACCATATGCTAACCACAGGTTTACAAAGCAGTCCAGCAGGGAGAGCTGTGCTCACACAGAAAAGGAGGAGACCGAGAGAGACCGCAGTCCTCGGGGATCCAAGTGGGAAAATACAGTACAACCATACTATAAGGGATAGGTGCTAGAGAACTTTATAGAAGTCGAAACTCAAATAATTCAACAGAAATCCTGGCAAAGCATGAAGCGTATTTCTACTGAATGCTGAAGTCAAAGCATCTCATAGAAATACCACGAATAGTCAGTAATTCACACAGCAGTCAACCTTGAAAATGACGCATGAAAATGAGCCACATTCACCTCCTCACACGTCTCCATGAGAGCGCTTCAGTGACCAGGAGCACTGTCTTCAGTGGCCATCAGCACTGATTGTTTGTTGTTTGTTTGAGAGACAGGGTCTCACTGCTACATTGCCTAGGACGGACTTGAACTCCCAGACCCAAGTCATCGTCCCACTTCAGCCTCCCAAGTAGCTGGGACTGTGGACACAGGCCACCGACACCCAGCTCACCAGCAATATTTTGAAAGAAATCTTTTTTTCTAGGCATAGACCTCAGCCGTAAGCTTAAAATATTCAGTAAGCCATACTATAGACAGATGTGCTGTCATTCAGGCTTTCTTGCTCCATTCGTAGAGCAGATAGCGTAGAGCCAGCATAATCTTTAAGGGTCATAGGACTCTTGGAATGGTAAAGGACTACTGGCTTCAACTTAAAAGTCACCAGCTGCATTAGTCCCTAACAAGAAAGCCACTCTGTCCTTTAAAGCTTTAGTCCTTTAAAGACACCAACTTCTCCTAGTTTTTATTTATTTATTGAGATGGACATTTAGATACATACCTGTCCTTCTTCCAATGTTAATGGTTTTATTTCTATATCTTGACACATGCTGTTGTAGAAGTTATTCATGGCACTATGTAATTTTTGATAGTCGACATCATGATCTAAAAAGGGACTACACCCTTTTATAATAACCCAGAAGCAACCCGGATCTTCAATCTGTAAAAATTTTAAAAGACAAACAGAACAATGTATGATTTAAAAGCAGTACCACAAAATAACAAACTTGAGAGCCACGATTACTGTTTCTTATTTAAGTGACCTAACAAATTCTTGACAAATGCTTTTGCTTAAATTGTTAGACCAAAGATAAAATTCTAAAACATGTAATTCTCAATTATGTGTCATGACTCAAAAAACAAACAGATGTCCTCAATCTCCTATATTCTGAAAAAATCCATAATATACAAAGCAAGGTTCAGAGCAATGTTTTTAGTACTTTTGTTTGTTAACGTTTTTAATTAAACAACAAAAAAAATAGAGACGGTGTCTCCCTATGTTTCCCAGGCTAGTCTCAAACTTTGGGGCTCAAGCAATTTTCCCATCTTGGCCTCCCTAAGTGCTGAAGAGTATAGGCATGAGCCACTGTGCCTGACCTGTATCCTTCTTTTGTAAGACAGAGAAAGAAATTTGAATATAAGTACACTCTGCTCATAATAAAAAAGAGAAATAATGGTAGATAAACCAAAATAAATGCAAATCATGACCTAAGGGAAGGGACGAAATGGACAAGGGACATGGAAGAAAGTCAGACTTCCTGGAATGTATTTTGTTTTGTACTACTGTTATTAGAAACCAAGATTTTCATTGTTAAAGACATAAGTATAAAACGAAAAGTTCAATTTGAATTGAAAATATCAAAAGGTCTTGCTCTGTCATCCAGGCTGGAGGGCAGTGGCGTAATCTCTGCTCACTACAACCTCCACTTTGCAGGTTCAAGCAATTCTCCTGCCTGAGCCTCCCAAGCAGCTGGGATTATAGGCCTATGCCACTGTGCCTGGCTTATTTTGTATTTTTTAGTAGAGACAGGGTTTCATTCACTGTGTTGGCCAGGCTGGTCTCAAAATTCTGATCTCAGGTGACCCGCCCATCTCAGCCTCCCAAAGTGTTGGGATTACAGGCGTGAGTCACCACGCCCGGCCAAGAACTCGTGATTTTTCAAAAGTATTACCTAACTCTGCCTAGAAGCAATGATGTCTCAAGATTTGGGATCCTAAATCCAATGTGGCAAGAATACAGGTATTCACATTAGCATTATTTCTACTTTTCCGAATGTTTGAACATTTTTATAACAAATAATCAGAAAAAAGAACAGCAGTTATTCTGGTTCCAGTAACAATAGAATAGTTTCTATATCACCTGTGGGTAACAACAATAATCCCTGGAAAAAATACAAAATAACGATTTGAAGGCAGTGAAGAGCTACCAAAAGCCAGCAGAACCTGGAGGAGCTTCAACGCCTGAAAGAAGGAAACTTCCCTGGGTGAGATCTACTTTTATATGGGTTTTCCCCTGCGCCCATTCCCCAGTTCACATAGTGTGAAGCAGCTGCAATTCAAGGAGAAAGTCGTAATGTCTGTGGCTTGAGGAATCAGGAAACAGAGTTTGGGGCTGCCAGGGCAGCTGAGAATTAAAGGGTAAAATTCCTAAATGGAGAGCCACAGAAGGGAAGCACTAAAGTCTGCATGAGAACACCTGTCACATTATTGGCAGAGATGAGACCCCAAGGAGTCCACAGAAGACCGACAGTGGGAAGGCTGAAATAAGCAGTTTTAGCTGGGCGCAGTGGCTCACGCCTGTAATCCCAGCACTTTGGGAGGCTGAGCCAAGCAGATCATTTGAGGTCAGGAGTTTGAGACCAGCCTGGCCAACATGGTGAAACCCTGTCTCTACTAAAAATACAAAAATTAGCTGGGAGGGGTGGCGCATGCCTGTAATCCCAGCTACTGGTGAGGCTGAGGAAGAATTGTTTGAACCCAGGAGGTGGAGGTTGCAGTGAGCCAAATCATGTCATTGTCCTCCAGCCTGGGCAACAGAATGAAACTGTGTCTCCAAAAAGTACGCAGTTTCAGCTGCTGCTCGTGAGAAATGCAGAATCCTGGACATAGGGCAACTCCATCCAAACCTCTGCACTTGGAGAAAACCAAACTCTAGCGTGGCTTCTAGCAGCATAAGGCTTGTCCCTGAGACAACCAGCACCGCATCAAAAGGCCTGCCTGAGCTAGCTCACTGCTGCCAGGAAACTTTATGGTTTGTTCATCAAATACCTGACACAGCTCCCTCACCTCCCCTTCCTGGAGCACGTACTAAAAAATGCTCAAGATTGGGAATGTGTACCTACTGCAACTCATGAGTGTCTTTCTCAAGGACCAGAAAGCTTTTCTTTGAAATGTAATCTTTAGGAAGCGTCTCCCAGTCTCTGTGGGAAGACAGAATCCTAACTTCTATAACTACCAGCTAGCAGACAGAACTGCCTCGCCACATTTACACTGACTCAGGCGGGGCACAGGGGGGCTCATGCCTGTAATCCCAGCACTTTAAGAGACCGAGGTGGGTGGATCACTTGAGGTCAGGAGTTCAAGACCAGCCTGTCTAACACAACGAAACGCCGTCTCTACAAAAAAAAAAAAAAAAAAATTAGCCAGGCGTGGTGGTGCCGCCTGTGGTTCGGCTACTTGGGAGGCTGAGGCAGGAAAATTGCTTGAACCCGGGAGGCGGAGGTTGCAGTGAGTTGAGATCACACCACTGCTCTCCCACCTGGGGGACAGAGTGAGATTCCATTTAAAAAAAAATACACTGACCCAGTCTTTGTAACTTTTCATCCAAGCCCTGCTCCTGCCCATTCTCCCTTTAAAAGGCCCAGTCACCTGTACACAAATCAGAATAGAGCTCTGTTCTTTGACACTCATCAAGGAAAATGGAATTTGGAGTAGGCGCCTTACCAAGTTACAGAGGCTTAGTAAGCACCTCAGGTGTGAAAAGGGCAGTGCTCAAGAAGACCATGTTCCCGGACAAAGACAATGTGCTCCAACAATCAGGGCAAAACCAAACTGATGTACACAATGTGTACCTTCCAAAGTGCAACCGGCCAGTCAGTGACTAAACTGCACATCAACACTTGCAGTTTATTCATCATAACCACGACGTCCACTGTAAAATAGACAATTATTAGACATGTGAAGAAATGATCATGTGTTAGATGGCCAAGAAAAACAGTCGCCAGAAAGTGAACCCAAGATATCCATATGTTGGAATTAACAGGCGAGGACTTAAAAACAGCTATTATAAATGGAGAACTTAAGGATGAGATGGTTATAGTGAGTTGAAAACAAAAGAATCTCATGTAAGAAATGGAAACTAAATATGTATATAGATATGTATCTATTTATATGTATACAGATATATATACACACAAGCTGTGGAAAAAGTAAATTTCATAAATGAAAAATAAAAATTTCACTGGGGGTGCACTCACTAACATTGTACTAAAGGTCCCAGTTAGTACACTAAGACAGGAAAAAGGCAGGAAGGCTAGAAAGGAAGAAATAAAATTATCTTTATTCATAAAAGCATGACTGTCTACAGAGAATCTTAAAAGAGTCTATTAAAAATTAGAACTATAATGAAAACTATAAAACACTGCTGAAATAAATTAAAGAAGATATAAATGGAAAGACAACTCACATTCGTTGACTGGAAGACTTAATATCATTAGGATGTCAATCCTATCCAAAGCAATCTACACATTCAATTCAATCTCTACCAAAATCCAAATGACATGTTTTTCAGAAATAGAAAAGTCCATTCTAAAATTCACATGAAATCCCAAAGGACCCAAAATAGCCACAACAATCTCAAAAAAGAACAAAGCTGGAGGACTCACACTTGATCTCAAAACTTACAATAAAGTTACAGGAATCAGAACAGTGTGGTACTGTCATAAAGACAGACACACAGACCAACGGAGTAGAATAGAGAGTCCAGAATAAACCCTTGTATCTAGTCAAATGATTTTTGACCAAGGTCCCAAAACCATTCAGGGAAAGGTTCTGTAACAAATGAGTGTTGGGAAAAGTAAATATTCACATGCAAAAGCATGAACTTGGAGGCCAGGCACAGTGGCTCACACCTGTAATCCCAGTACTCTGGGAGGCCACGGCAGGTGGATCACCTGAGGTCAGGAGTTCAAGATAAGCCTGGCCAACATGGTGAAACCCTGTCTCTACTGAAAATACAAAATTAGCCGGGTGTGGTGGCGCACGCCTGTAATCCCAGCTACTCAGGAGGCTGAGGCAAGAAAATCACTTGAACCTGGGAGGTTGAGGTTGCAGTGAGCCACGACTGCACCACTGCACTCCAGTCTGGGTGACAGAGAGAAACCCCATCAAAAAAAAAAAAAAAAAAAAAAGAATTTGGACTTACGTAATACCATACACAAAAATGAACTCAAAATGGATTAATGACCTAAAGGGAAGGCTTGAAATTATAAAAGAAAACACAGGGAAAACGCTTTATGATGTTGGATTTGACAACGATTTCTTGGATATGACACCAAAAGCACAGAAAACAAACGAAAAAATAGACAAATTGGGCTTCATTAAAATTTAAAAATTGTGTGCATCAAAAGTCACTATCAACACAGTAGAAAGTCAACTTATGGAATGGGGGAAAATATTTGCAAGGCATATACCTCATAAGGAATTAATATCCAGAGAACTCTTAAAACAACAACAACAACAAAAAAACCCCAACCAACCAATTTTAAAATGGGTGGAGGATTTGCATAGACAGTTCTCCAAAGAAGATATACAGATGGCCAATAAGTACATGAAAAGGTGGTCAACATCACTAATCATAGAGAAATATAATTCATAACCATAATGAGATACTACCTGACAGTCATGATGACAACTACTGTTGAAAAAAAAAAAAAAAAAAAAAAAAAAAAACCTTGAAAATTCAATGTGAAGAAAGGAGCGTTAAAACAGAAAATAACATGTTGGCAAGGCAAGGCTGTGGAGACACTGGAATCACTGTGCACTGTTGGTAGAATGTAAAAAGGCATAGCTGCTATGGAAAATGGTAGGGTGGCTCCTCAAGAAATTAAAACTATAATTACCGTATGATGCAGCAATTCCACTATTGGGTATAGATCCAAG